TAAATATAAATTAATGCGACAATGGTTATAACTTATAACTTTATTATTGAGGATAAATATGAAATCCAACCTAAATAATAATTTAATTAATAATGATGTAACTTAAGAGGAGAGAAAATGAATAGTTTATTCATTATTAATTGCATATAACAATTATATAATAAATAATAAATATATATCATTATATTATTATATATTAAATATATATTAAATATATATAAATGCATATCCTATTTAATTCATAAGGTAGCATATTACATATATAAAAGATAATAAATAAATTTATGTTATTATATTATAAATTATTATTATCAATTATATTATGTATTATTTATATATATAGAAATGTATTCGTTACTATGTTCATCCCTACTATTAATTAATTAAATTTAATTATGTGATAGTTGATGGGAAAGAAGAATTTGGATTGGGTTGGGCATATATATATAATGAAAAATGATGTGTACACACCGGGTGTTGGATTCGGGTGTGCACCAATCATGGTCCATATATAATGCTTACCCTATTTAATGCATAAGGTAGTATTTTAATTGATTGGTGCACTAATATTTTAAATAGTATTAAGATTTGAATTAATGTAATAATATATAAATATCATTTCTCTCTTTATTTTTAACTGTAACCATTTAAAAAAAAAAACCCGAATTTATATAAAAGAAGTGCACCACATTAAAAAAACAATAAATATTGAAATAAACGAAACTTTTGATATTAGAGAATGTTTCATTTAATAATTGTTTTTTTAATAAATGAAAAATATTATAGGTATCTTGTTTTATAGTTGGATTATTTTAAATTATAAAATAAAAATTATTTGATGATGAGAAAGTTCTTAATATTAAAGCCTTTTTTTTATAAAATAGTTAATGTTTTATAATTAAAAGTAATTTAAATTGTAAAATATTTTTTAATTATTAAATTAAAAAATAAAAAATGCTCATCTAATGACTATTATTTTATTATTTTGTAACTCAATATGGTTTTAACTACAAAATATCAGACATATGAATTTATTTTTACCAGTAACATATATGCTCAGGCAATTAATTGTCTACTCTCTAAAAAACACTGGATTTATAAAAAATGTATTGTACTTTTTCTTTTCCTGGGATTTGGAGCTAAAGCTTAACTCCCACAAATCCCACAAAAGTTCCCCTCTTTCTTGTTTTTCCGCCATGTTTTTCCTTCTTTTCACCCGCTGCTTTCTTCCCTTCATTTTTCTCGTCGAGTTTCTTCTTCTTGTCGGCTTTTCTTCTTTTTTTTTTTTTTTTTTTATCTCCATTGCCAGCATAGGTGGGCTTAGCTTTCTCCTTTTTGTGTCGAATACCGAATAAAACAATAAGTCCAAATCTAGGGAAATTTCAAGATTCATAGAGGAAGATAAGACGAGAAGAAGAATGTGGCAAACTCACCTCACCCATTCACTGAAACTTTTTTTTTTCTTGAATATTAAATTGAGCCAAGGCAGTTAGCAAGGAATAGAGAATTGTATGAAGAAAGAAATTGGGGGAGATGGGGGAATTTATAGGAGAGGAGAGAGGGTCATGCCTTTATGGTATGTGATGTCAATGATGGTATATGATGTCAATGATGGTATATGACAGGGAAGTTTATCCGTTACTCTACATTCTACAAATGTATCCATTACGATGTTTATTTCTATTATTAATTAATTAAAATTAAATCTGTGATAATTGATGAAAAGGAAGAATTTGAATTGGGTTGGACATGTATATATATAAAATGCTTACCTTATTTAATGCATAGGGTAGCATTATATATATATATATAGATTACTTAAATAAATGTCAATTTTTATTTTTTTAATATTAATTAATATTAAAAATGTTATAATTACATTCTTAAACACAAATTAAGAAAAACCTTTTTTTCAAAAAAAAAAAAAAACATACTGATGTGTTTTCTTTAAATATTATGAAAATTTTGACAACGAAAACAAAAATCAAGAAGCAAAAGTGATACTAAACAGACCTAAATTTATCAACCACAGATCTCTCTTCCCTCCTCTACCTTTCTTGTTCTCTCTCTGCCCCTAGCAGGTGCCTGTATCCCCATTTGGCAACCTACGGAGCCTAAACAAAGGTGCGAGGCTTTTCCCTTGGGTTTTCTCTCATAAAGATGAGAGTTTGCACTCCCCCCATGTGGCTCGTTGGCAACCACATTGAAGAGCAGGTAGAATGCACCCTCAGTTTCTTAGATCAAGTATGATCTATTATTTTAAATAGATATTAACCTAACTTAATATTATAGTTTTTTTTTTTGTTTTAAAAAAGAAAGATGAGAGTTTCTCTCTCTTCTAGAGATTTTTACCTTTGCATTTTTAATATATTTTTATCAAGTTTTACTTATGGTAGAGGAAGACAATGCAAATATAGGGCTGGTTGGGCTCGGACAGGTTGCATTGTGAAGGGTGAGGTCTCTAACAAATCTTTGTTCCCCAAAAGCTCAAATATCAATGAGACTCCTTATATGCTTTGTACACACAGCCAAATAGTCCTATTAAGTTTGTTTGTTCCATTATAACAATTGCTTATATAATATATAGTTTTTGATGACCCTATGTACTTAATTTTTGTCCATATATAATTATATATCTTGACCAAAATTATCTATTACCAGTATTATAGGCCTTCCTTTTTTTTTTTTTTTTTGGTTTATAGAAGTATTATAAGCTACTTGATTATCAATGAATCCTTCGAATTTTTATAAATTAAAAAAGAGAGTAAATTTATCAATTTTGTTTTATTTCTATTAGGTTAAAATTTTTTTTAATCCATAAAGTTTATTATTTGACCTTTTTTTAGTTTCTTTATTATTATTTTATATACATAGTGCATACCAACAATTTATTAGTTCAAGTAGAAAGAGTTCAGTTCCTTTAAAACAAACTCTCAAATTTGAGTATTATGAATAGAGAAACAGACGCTGGAAGAGCTTCCTCCTTAATGAGGTCCGACGTAGCTCGATTCCGAATTAATCGAGATCCAATGTGGTTATCAGATATCGAGAGGTTAATACAAAAAAAAAATATACATAGTGCATTAAATTATGAAAATTCTAAAATAAAAGATTAAAAAATGACTTTTTTAAGTGGAGAATTAAGGAGGAGTTTTTTTAGTCCCTTTCTAGGTTTTTTACTTTAAAATTTCTACCATCTAATGCTTATGCTTTATGTATGCAAAATGATAATGAAAAGACAAAAAAAGCCAAATAATAAATTTTAAGGACCAAAAAAAAAAAAATTTTAAGTAAAAAGACTAAAAAAATATTTTACTAAAGATGAGGGTCTAAAATGGAGCTATAACCTTTTTATTGTTTCACAAAAATATAGACCAGCTCCGCACCAAACATTACCTAAATGTTGTACCCTATGCCGACTCCATCAACTGTCTAAAAAGTAAAAACTGCTGAAGACGTTGAAATGGCTTTAAATGAAATAGATCAATTATTCGACAGAAAGAAATAATTGAACGAAGAACGATTTTTTACTTAGAAAAACGACCATTTTCAGATAATGAACGAGGAAAACTGATGCGGGATAAAGCAGCCTAGGTGCTGAAGAATGATTCTTCCAAAAAAGAAAAAAAGAAAAAAAAGAGAGAGAAACAGATATTAGAGAACCCTAAGCAGTCTGTCATTAAAGTGAACAACAATTACTAAAACATTACATACATCCCTATACTCAAAAGCACACACAACATTGGCAGGGAGAGAGTTCCACATCTCAATGTTAGTGTTTTTTCCATCACCTAATGGGAAACAAATCCTACCGCTTTTTAGCACTACCAACCTCCCTCCGCAACTCTTGCTTCAGCCAAGAAAGTTTAACATCAGCTGTTGGGATGCAAGCAAACATCTCTCTGTAATCTCTTTTTATAAACAAACGAGTACCTAACATATATAACTCACCACCAACTTCAACACCAGGCAGATTCTTCAATATCCCCATACAATCTGCAATGCTACTTCCAGGTGAATCATAATTTTTCTTTGATGATTCAGTTAAACTAGCATGAGAGTTGTAACTTTCCACTGCATCACAAAAATGATTTAATTGCCTCTGCATGTATATTGCTGCCCACATTTTTGCTTTCTTGCCCTTACCTTTTTGCACTTGTTTTTCAGTACCTGGAATTGAACAATTTGGTACAGTTTTCTTCCTTTTTCCATTGCTTCTTATAGGTTGGTTTTGTGTAGGGATGTAGTTCATATCATCAGAATCATTGCTTCTCTCATCCAAATCAATTGCACCTTGAACTCCTAGATCTTGTTCTGGAAAATGATTATCTGCACTAGGGGTCACCTGTTTCTCAGTACCTGGGATTGAACAGTCTATTGTAGTTTTCTCCCTTTTCTCATTACTTATTATAGGCTGGCTTTGTGTAGGGATGCTGTTCACATCATCAGAATCACCGCTTCCCTCGTCCAAATCAACTGCATCTTGTTCTGGAAAAAGATTGTCTGCAGCAGGGGTCAATGCAATTTCACCTGTTGCTGCTGCTTTAGAAAACATTATTTCCATCTCTTTTGGGTTTTCTAACCCAACCTCTTCAAACTTGGTGTAATTAGGATTCTCCTACAAGAATTTAACATTCACATGAGAAGAAAGAGAATAAGGATATGAAAAGGTTATTAAGGAGCTTATCTTAAAGTACAGCCATCAACAATTGAAGGTCAGGACTAGTGTGTTTGGAAGTAAAATTTTTATCTTTAAACTCAAAATTATTAACAGTCAACAAGCACATAGCGACCTTTTTCATTGCAGCCCACCACTCATGAGAAGCATCAATTGTACCCTTTTGGTTAAGCCCCAATCCTGTAGCCTGACTCAGAAGTTGTTTCCAGAGAATCCAATCCTTTTTTAATCCATCCCACCTATTTCTCAACTGTTTATAACTATAATTTCTATTTGCTCTTTCATTGAATTTTGCAATCACATTTGCCCACCCTGTTCTATTAAAAGTATTACAGGGCCGATTACGAGCAGCAACTTCTTCCACACAGACATCACAAAAGATTCTGGTTGCCCTAGCATCCCATTTTGCCTTTTTCTTCTTATCCTTTGAGTTAGAAGGTCCTCCCATCTTATGCCTTGAGCCCTCCCTAAAATTTAATAAAAAGGAATTAAAACAATGGATCAAGTTCCATGTAAAATATATGCTTCCATAAGTATAATAAAGATCTATGTTGATGACAAAAAAATTTTAAAAAAAATTGAAAAAAAAAAAAAGGAAAACAGCTAATGCAATAAAGATTAAGACCTATCCCTTATCAAACAGAAGCACAGAGTCAAGGTGGGTTTTCATTAACTTTCCAGGAAGAAGTTAATGACAGAAAGGGTATGTACATCCTTTGTAGGATTATTATAAACTTGAGTTATCTTTCAACTTTTTTTGTTGGTTATCCAAAGTGATATACAGTTAGTCTACAGTACTCATTTCTTTCCCTATTCTTCTTGTAAATGAACTAAGATTAAAATATATATATATATATATATATTAAAGTCACTTCTTTTTTTAAATATAGTTTCATCCATTTTTCTTCGATCCTATTCCTCTCTGTCTAAATTGAATGTCTTTATTAGCACTTAAACATATCCTCTGGACAGCTCAAATCTAGGCCTAAGGTGAAAATAAGATTCCGTACCACAAGCATCACAAGAATCAAGCAACTAAACAGCTTGTGAAACAAACATAAAGACAAAGCAATATTACACCAGTCTTCAAGAAGACAACTAGCTTGAATAAGTTCCAAAAACCATCAGGCCTCAACGGTCCATGTGAGCCAAACACCCTAAACAAGTACTGACTTTTAACTCTTCAAAAATGAAGAAGGCCAAGCATCACCCTCTCACTCTCTCTCTTCCCCCTCCTGGCTTTCCACTCAGGCAAATTTACAGACCACAAGACCAATCCAATAATTTCCAAAATGGAAAATTTGGCTGAAGTTGAACTCCGGAAATGGGAAGTTTGCACCGAAAAAAAAAAAAGGAAAACCTTTTCGAAGCGATTCTATCTACTCGCTTTCATTTTCACTTGAGCTAAGGCAATCTATTTCCCTTTCATCTCTTTGATTATGGAAAATCTACCGTACCCAAAATAGACCACATTTTGGTTAAGAATTTAAGATAATCCATTAAACCAAAACTCTAAATTCGCATAAGAACATCATTCTGCAAATTTAGGGTTTTTGGATTTAATGGATTATATTAACAAAAACAATATTTTGGACTGATAATGCAGAAGATTCATCATCGAAAAATACCAAAATGGCAATCTTATCAACGGGAAAAATATAATTAGAATGAGATTTCACGATTTTTTTACCTCTGGACTGACTCGACTCGAGCACAGACAGCCTCTCCCCTGGAAGGTGATTATCAATCAGGTTTGATC